CCGGGCTGTAGTGTAGACATAGACCTACTCTAACTAGTACACCTGTAAAGTAGCACTGGAACAACAAGATACAGGCATTTTTAGAGGCAAACACTTGAGCCAAATTTGGAATTTATAATCCCACGCAGATGGAGTTGCATGGGATATAAACCAACACCAAATCTGCTCCCTGGAAATTGGATCAGAGCATTCTAATTAAAAAATTAAACCCCCTTGCCTTACACTTCAAAGATAACAGGGCCAACAGAACAGTGAAGACAAAGATACACAGATTTCTCCTAGATAATTTTAAAGGGATATCCAGGGCCAGAAATTCGAGATCAGGTGAGCACAACTGTACGCACATTAATTTATGCATGCAATTATGCTTGTATATTGGGTATATCATTCTGTCATTGAACAGGCCACGAACATGCACAAATACCTGATTTTGTGCATGAACATCAAGTACTAGTGCACACAGATTTATCCAGATATGTGCACGTAACTGTCCACACCCAATCTTGAAAACCTGACCACAGAGTAAATTCCATTTATTTTTGTGAGACGTTTATCTGCTCTGGCTGCTTATTTCCCATTTTAAGTTACAATTTCAATGGTGACCTCAGCCATGATGCAACATGAGTCATCTGCACAGCTAAGAGCAGATAAGGAATTCAGATGGGGAATAAATGAATTCAAAGGAGGAAAAGCAGGTAAGTTCTTAAGAATCAAAGAATTTGTTTTCATGCAAAAGTTCTTTGCAATAAAGAGGAAATAAACAAACATGTGATACACACGCAGTTGCTAGTAGAGAAAATTGTTTTTCATTATATGACAGCTTTTTAAAGGTGACCCACAAGTGGAATTAGAAATCCATATTAAGAAGTGCACTGAGTTTTTCCAAATAAGGGGCAGGGCATTTAGCATGTAAAACAATTCATTTGTTCTCATGATTTCCAATCCCTTTGGATTACCAGGTATCCCCTCTGAATAGTACCCCAGCATTGATTATACTTAAAGCATCACAGCAGCCATGGAACTTCTGCCGCCCTTTCCCAGAGCCAGTTTATAGTGATCGCTCTAAGTGGGCTTCTCTTTGCAAACACATATCAGCTTTCTAAAAGTTAGGTCATGATTTTGAAGAGTTACTAGTGGTTTTGGGTACCCAACCTGAGACACCCGATTTTTAAGAAATACTGAGCACTAACCCTCTGAAAATCAGGCCCTTTTGAAGTGTTTTAAAAAGAGTTATAAGGCACCCAAGATCACCAGGCACTTGAAAATCTTGACCTTATTATTTATAGCCCATGAAGGGATAAAAGTACTAATGTATATGCTTTGATATCTACAATCAAAGTTTTGCAGTGGTATAGCGTGCTGCTGAGCATACCAGCCTGAGTTTGAAGGGGATTCTCTGGAACCTGAACTGGAAAGGCAGCAGCAGAACTGAACTGGCTGCAATCTGTTCAGCAGTGAGGTTCTTCCCAGTAACCAAAGAGACTGCCAAGCGATGCTTAAAACTAGATGAACTCACACCCAACCGTCTGCTAAAAGCAACATTTTTACCCGCAGAATTAAAATCTCATTTCTCTTCAGATGAAGACGGGCAGCCCACATCTCCCTTTCTGCAGGCGCCGTGGGAAACCTCAGCTGTCGGAGAGCTGATGGATTTACACAGGATTTGAGCAGTGCTAGAAGAGACTGAGCCTACTGCATCCGTCCGCCCTTCTTTCAGAACTGCAACCCCTTGACAAGCAGCTAACACTCCCTCGTTGTTTTGTGCTGACAGGATTCCCACCGCCCGTGTCAGAAGCTGAGCCAGCTCTTTTGTCTGATGGCTTGTTCTACAATTATTTACTTGGCTGTCCAAAGCTGAATAGGTCTCTAAAAGTAGCCAGACATCAATGCTGGTATTCATCTTTCTACCGCCCTAGTATTAGGTCCCTTCCAGAGGATCTCAGTCTTATGCTACGAAGTCAACATTTTTCTGGAAGACCTCATTTTTAAAAGAAAATCACTATCAAGAGAAGAAATACAAATGACTTCCCATTCCAAAATTAATGGCAAAAACCAACTAAATATAACCTACAAATATCATGAGATTGTCACAAAGTTTACCCCCAAAATCTGATGTGGTGGTGAATGTTCTGCCAGGCTCATCATCTGTACAGTATTAAAACAGAAGATAACATTTTCAAAATGCACCTAAGTGACTTTTGTACCTAAGTCTCATTGACAGTCAATGGGAGTTGGGTACAATTTTCAGAAGTGCCTATTATCTGCTACTTTGTTGTTCAGTTAAAAATACCACTGCTAAAATCTGTACACATTTTAAAAACATTTGGACTCCACAACCTAAAAAGTTGTTATCCCTGCTTGCTGTAGTCACAGCATCATTTAATCAGCCCCTCTTCCTAATGATGCTAGTGCATAAACAAGCAAGCAAAACAAATCTGAGCTTGAACTTACATCTTTAAAAAAAAGTGTGTGTGTGGGGGGGAGAACATTTGTAAATGTTAGAGGATGAAATGAGGACATTTAATATTCTGAAGCTTCTAAAAAGGGAAGCACAAATCATTTTAAAAGCTACGTATTAGTTAAATAAAAAGACACAGATGTGTGTGTTTTTAAGGTATTTTACCTCACCAGGAAAACAAAAAAACCATTTAAATAGCAGAAGAAAAATGTCTGCCTGCTCTTTCTTGCATTCAGAAATCACCACACAAGCTACTTGGTACTGACTTGAACCTATTTCATTTGAAGTCCGTTGTAAAACTACTAGTACCTTAAGTGTGACTAGCATCAGACAGAACCTATCATCTTGCAGTTAAATTTTCACTCTCCTGCATGGAGACTCCAACTGAGGGCACAAACAAACCAACCTTTGATACTTACCCATCCCAAAGTGAGCATGATTCACCAGCAGTATTTTATACAACCATTGTGATTTTCATATATGCATGTCAAAGTGCTTTACAAACACTGGGCCACATTCATGCATGCAGCAGAGATCCATGCAACACTACAGTCAGGAAGGCCACGGAGGTGGGGAGTAAAGTTAGTTGTAAACCCCTTTTTACACTTCCTGGATTCTAGAACAAACTTGGCAGGTCCAAAACTACATTAGGTTGCAACAGACCCCAAAGGGTCACACAGCAACTGAAGACAGCTGAAGTACACCACCAATGAGAGCTTGCAAGAATGTAAGCCAGGGTGGAGCTGTACCAATATCTCTATACCACCTGGGGAATCTTATGCCAGAGGTATTACCTGAGCACCAGAGCTGGCAAGTTGGTAGCCCTTACGGTTTGTTAGAGTGGCATAAAGGGGTTGCTATGGGGCTGTGAATCAAGCCTATTAACTTACAAAGCTCCATAATTCCTTACAAGATACGAAAGTATTATTCTGAAGCACAAAGAAAGTCACAAGGCACTGGCCAAGCCAGAAACAAAAACAGTCTTCTGAGTCAACATGTAAATATAAGCCTCTACCTCACCATGATCAGTAGCTACTACAAAGGAACCTACAATTCCACATTTTCCATTTTTTTAAGGCCACTACAATGTGCCACCAAGCCTTGCTGTGCTTTCAGCTCCCTGACTGCTATGTTATACCAAGAGACTGGAAAAAGGGGAGTAGTCTTCCCTTCAGCCACTATACTCCCGTTTAGAAAGCCCATCAAGTTCTGAAGCAATTTCTCCAAAGACCTAGTCACCTGAATGACACACCCACCTAGTTTCCTGAGAACAGTCTGAATAACTCCTCACTCAAACTAGCCACTCTTGAGGAACAGGCATTTCAGAGTATCAGCTGGCAGGCTGCCAAATCCTACAGTCGCTTAGTTAGTGTGCTCACCAGCATGGAGTCAGGAATCCCATTTACCACTGACTTGGCAACTTTCACAGAATCCTGCCAAGTGCATCAACATGGAAGCTAGCGAATCAGGATATGAGTTTGATGATATTCCATGAGCTGGGTCATGTTATGCCAGTCAAATAAGAATCTTTCCCCACTGAAAAAAAAAACAACTCATGATGGTGTAAAGCAAAGCCCTCTTGTCTCTGACCCACAGTATCTAGGGGACAGGCTTTGAACTGTGAGTGCTCACAGCAAACACTCATCATAGGCCATCACTAAGGAGTTCCAATCTTCCCACTTATTCACAGGATTTCCAAGGGAGAAACTCTCTGTCAATAGCCAAAGATACTTCCACAGCAGAGTTAATTCAACCCACACCTTAACAGCACCTAATGGAACACTTACCCAAGCTCACCCACACTATAGCTTGTAGCAAAGAGCAGCTAATCCCAACCCCCAAACTTAAACCTTAGGACCAATCTCAACTCACCTATGGGCTGTTCCTATACCTAACGGAGCTAATCTTACCTCTATAAAGCACCCTAGCACTATACTAAAGAAATGCCCATTTATGAAAGCACACAGTAAAGTGAAAAGCTCTTGGGCGTACTGGCATATCGCTTCAAGCACTGGTAATTATAGATTCAAACCCAATAGTAACATCCTACTGTAACCATTCAATAAGCAAGTCAGCCACTTTCCATCCACTCATGAAATACAAAATGCCTGCGCTGCTCAGATGATCAGGAACGGGATATGGACTTTTTCCCCACTAGGACAGAGGTTCAAATTCTGTCCAAGTTCATAGCGACTAGAAGGGGATGGTCTATGTGAAATAAATTAAGTCAGTTACTAGCAGACAGGTACCTATAATCAAAATTCATCACAACAACAGGTACTAACTGGCCCCATGCTGAGAGTCTCAGCAGAAAGGTGAAGGAATGAATGAGCCACAAAGACCAAGCTCCTTTTCCATCTTTAGCAGTGACCCTTGTTGATCAGGGTTGACACATGTAGATAAGGGGCTTTAATTTACCTTTTCTTTGTACAGTTAGAGAGCTGCACCCCCAGAGCTGGAAAATATAGCCCCTTTCACAAGTACTAAATTCACTTTTGAAAGAAAGAGCTTTTGTTCAGAGAGAAGAAATGTCAGCACTGACCTGCTTGAGCTGCTCATCCATTCTCCAGGTCTGCCGCCCAGATGGGGAACCAGAATACGATTGTTTAGTAGTGTCTTTACCCTGTTCCTCCTTTCCCTGCTGTCCCCGCTGAAGTCCTGGGGCTGGAAGAGTAGACACCACTCTTTGGTTGTGATGGGCAACTTTCTGAGAATGAAAATACTTCAAAGTAGAACAGGCATCTTTCCCAGTCATTTCAGTGTCCTCCTCAAGATCTCCATCTTCCAAACCCTCTTCCTCTTCATCCTCTTCCTCCTCCTCCTCCTCCGGCTCTGAGGTCACACTGCTCTGATCAAAAGCTCGGGTGGCCCCAACTACAGGTGGGAGTTTGGCCAAAGGACCAAGTGCTGTGCTGCCCGAAGCCCTGCCAGATGTGGCTGCTAGAACAGCCTGCTGTGCTGCCAGCTGCTGAGTATAAAGCTGCTGGGCTTCTCTCATCTGCCTCTGCTGTCTCTCTCTGGAATCCATCTGCAGAGGACCTTGCTGCTGTTGCTGCTGCTGCTTCTGCAGCTGCTCAACAACAGCCTCCAGCTTCATCCCGCAGTTAGCATGGCTGTGAAAAGACAGCTTTTCTATCCAGCAGGGCTCAAGCCCCAACCTTCAGAGATCAATAGAACCTAAAAGATAGATAAATATTTGTATGAATATAACACACTTTCATCTTTTTCCCTGTCGGAGGATAAGCAGGCTGCAAAGCCAGTCCTCTTTCCAGTCCAGGAGACCGTAAAATAAAACACCTAGAGTTTCGCAGCCTCAGGCTCAAACTTGCACTCCATTTTCAGTGTGTTTAATTGTATTTTCAAACTGAACACACAACAGCATAACCTCAGTTTTACAAACTGCAAACTGCTTACCTGAAGTATTTGTCCCCTGCCCTAAGAGCATATTCTTCACTGACCATTCTCCCACAAGTTTTACTAACTACCTTTAAAGCATTAGATTTTAAATTTAGATTTCAATCTTACTCCATATACTATTTTAAGGAACTGCACATCATAATAATTGCACTAAGTGCATGCTCTTTAAGTAAATGTATTTATAATCCTGTACCAAATGCTATTGTCTTTGCAAGTTATTTCATGGCCTCATGATTTTACAGAAGTTCCACATGCTCCTTGAGATCTTAGTAAAAACAGGGCTCTTTTAGCACTTGTTACTCTGAGTAATTTGGATGCCATGCAAGTAAAGATCATCCTACCCCCAAATAGCTAGTCACCTGGAAACCTTTACCCCAGCTTCTTCACACACAGCTCTGCCAATGCACCTAACATCCCAAGCTGGGACACTCTCTGTTACTCTAATTGGAGGATGCACAGGACTTTGTTAGCACTCCATTTTGATGTACAACATCCCCTACTCTTCCAGCATTAGGCACCTCTTGAACAGAGACTAATACACCTGGCTAGAGCCAGGTATACTGTTGAGACATACTAGGCAAATCCTGGGAGAACAATGGTGCTCCTAATTTCCAAAGGCTAAAGGAGAATGTGCATTTCCAGGCATTATGACAGAAATCAGAAATGTAAGTTGATCTAACTTGCTAAGTAGCTGCCCTTCGAGACTTACTAGTAAATCAAAACACAGTCAATAATGTACAAGAAACAAAGGAAAGGCAGCCAGCAAACAAACTAAGGAAATCCTCCTTCCACCCACATAACCAGTGCTGTGGTATGCAATCTAACCAACACCAGGTCCTTAAAAAGGAGGATAGTTTGCTAATGCTTTATGATCAAACACAAGAAAACACACTTCTGTAGGTAAGTCAAATACACTAATTGACCTAATTTCCACAAAATTCCAAAATAAGAAAAGACCTCAAATGTCCCTAGATTCTCCTTGAAGAGACTCAACAATATTTTCTGCAAACATAATACAATGGAACTGATTTTAAATTGTGCAAGGTATAATACTAAAGACATTTTTCTCTGTATTAAGCAACTATTGTCATAAATAAAATCATTCCAATGACAGGTCTATCAGCATTCTTAACTATCACACACCAGTATATCCTTTAGCTTAAAAGTGAAGCAACACACAGTTCGAATGTCAGTAACAATCATACATCATCTGGCATGTGATTAGGGCATCAAACACTCCTCAGGCACAATATACAGCCTGGCATTGGTGTTATAATACATACACATCTCCCTTGTACAATAATAATGAACTGGAATGTGGATTCTAACATTAAGCACAAACCAGACTGCGTATTACTGTGCCTAAGGCATGTGTCTACAACTCCCACAACACATCTTATTGTGTAGTGCTGCACCTGAGGCGTGTTAGGATGTCATCTATCATACCTCATATGTAGCAATACACAAGAGGGTGTGCAATTAAGACATGTCTCATGTACAATACAATAATAAGTGACTGGTATGTGATTAAGGTCAGGTAAACACACCTCAGATGCAGAAACACAAGCCCTGGTATGCAGTTCCAGTGTGTCTCACACAGCTCTGATACAATAATGCATGAAAGGTTATACCAAGATTTATACATTTCTCCTGGGTGCTGTGATTAGACATGAATGTGAAATATAAGGGCTCCAGGGAAGTTGGACTAGATGACCTCCTGAGGTCTCTTCCAATGCTTATCCAGAACCAAAGATATAGTAACCACACCCTGATTAGGTATCAGTGTGATTATAAAAAGATATTCAACATTTGAGTGTTTTAAGTAAATAAAGATATTTAGAACAAAGAGTATAAGATCAGGATAATTTGTTTTTTAAATTCTCCATCTGGGTTGCTATTACTACTTGAGATAATTAAAAACAGTTTTAACATCTGATTTTCTTTTCAGCATTAATATCTGCTTAAGGGCTTAGACTACACTGGCAACGCTAAAGCAGCGCTCTAAAAAACCCACCTCCACAAGGGGCGTAGCTCCCAGTGCTGGGGCACTGTCTACACTGGTGCTTTACACCGCTGAAACATGCTGTGCTCAGGGGGGAGTTTTTTCACACCCTTGAGCGAGAAAGTTGCAGCACTGTAAATTGCCAGTGTAGACAAGCTCTAACTTTTTGAATTACAACCAACTCTGGTCAGTGAAACTACTCAGATTAACTTTCACATCTCATGCAGTAACCCAAGCTCATGTGGATTTCCATCCTGGAAGAGCAGTTAAAGAAAAAGCCATCCCATCTGAATTTTTAAACGTTCCTTCTTTGTTTTAAAACAAGCTAATTATTGCAATTAAACCACACTGGTAATGTTCTTCTGTCAGTCAGTTTTGGGTGGGGCTATAAAAAGGACATTTTGAAACAGAAAAAAACACTGAAAAGTATACAATTCAAGCTCCTCTGAAAACAAATGAGAGGTTTTAGAAAGGAGTAGTAAGCAAAACTGTGAATGCTCCCTGTATTCTCAGACAAGCTCCACTATGGAATGTTCCTGCTCCCCCAAGCTTTTATTATCTCCTCTACATCTAGTTCTCACACCAAGCCACTGTAACCTACTTCCCTAAACCAGCCCCCTAACTAACCGCTTTCACCCATAACCTGTCACCTAACCAACTCCTCCCATCATAGTCACACTAATCAATTCCATAGTCTGTCCCTCAAACAAACCAAATCCCCCTCCCCAATAAGCAGCCCCAAACAAATCCCACTAACCCAGAGCCAGTCATTCCAACTAATCCCACAGCCTGCCCCCAACCAACCCACTCCTTCTCAACACTCATAACCCCCTCCTCATAGAGCCCCCCAACTAGTTCCCTCAGCCTCCCTATAACCAGTCACATATCCTGCCCCACAAAACCAACTCTGCCAATTAGCCCCCATAACCACCCCTTCCCCTCCCATCCAGACTCTTCAAACCACCTATAACTAGCCCCCCATAACCAACCAGCTTCTCCAAAACCTTCATAACTAGCCCTTCAACAACCCCACAGCCTGCCCTCACCCCCAGTCTCCAGCCCTACCGCTACCACACGCATCCCCAGCCCCCACCCCCATCTCTACCTCTACTCTCAAACCCACCCCCAGCCTGCCCTCACCCCCACCTCTACCCCGCCCTCGCCCCCAGCCCTACCCCTGCCCTCGCCCCCAGCCTGCCCTCACCCGCACCGCCTGCCCCCACCCCACCTCTACCCCTACTCTCACCCCAGCCCCCACCCCCCAGCCTGCCCTCACTCGCACCGCCTGCCCTCACACCATCCCCCACCCCCACCGCCTGCCCTCACCCCCATCTCTACCCCTACTCTCACACCCACCCCCAGCCTGCCCTCACCCCCACCTCTACCCCGCCCTCGCCCCCAGCCCTACCCCTGCCCTCGCCCCCAGCCTGCCCTCACCCGCACCGCCTGCCCTCACCCCACCTCTACCCCTACTCTCACCCCAGCCCCCACCCCCCAGCCTGCCCTCACCCGCACCGCCTGCCCTCACACCATCCCCCACCCCCACCGCCTGCCCTCACCCCCATCTCTACCCCTACTCTCACACCCACCCCCATAGCCTACCCTCAGCCTCCACTCCCAACCCTCCCACCAGCGGGAGCAGAGGGGCCATTACCTCCTCCGGAGCGAGGGGAGCGGGTCACTGCAGGCCCGTGCGCAGCCACTCGACTCTGACCGTCACCCCTCCCCCGCCCCCCTGAGCAAGACCGGAAACGGGGCCGGGAGGAGGGAGGGGGCGGGGTGCATAGCGGAAGCTGCGCCACTAGCCTCCCCTCCCCTCAGCAAGAGCGCTGACCGGAAGTAGCTGTCAGGAGGCGGAGTCAGCTAGCGGAAAGTCTTCGGGAAAGGAGCGGAACTGGGGCGAGGAGACGGGCCGTTATCACCAGCAGCCAATGGGCGCGCGGGGCTGGGGCCGGGTTTCCGGTTCCGGTGGTGATAAAGCGGTGCTGGACGCGGGCGCTACTGACTGCCGCAGGGAGGAGCTGAGCAGGGCCGGAGCGCGTGCGGCTGCAGGTGACGGGGACGGGACGGGGAGAATCTCCGCTGCGGTGGTGGCAGGTGACTGGCGGTGTCCAACCTGCTGGGTGTGGCAAGCAGGGCCTGCCGCCCCCGCGGGCGCCCCCCCACCCCGGCAGGAAGCTGCAATTAACCCAGCTAAATGGGCGCAAACCCCTCATGTGAACACGCTTAAACCACGTCGGTATTGGCGTCACCTGGTGCCACACGGGGGTAGGGGAGAGGCTGGGAATGAGCCTCGGGATTCCCAGACTCGCCCGGCACAGCCGTTGTCTGGAGTGCAAAACTGCGCCACTTTAAGTAGCTCAGACTTAAACTCCCCTGCCTAGGCTGCTGCCAGTGCCTAGAGTACAGTCGCTTAACCTGGCTGAGGGCTTGTCTCTCTGTGCCTGGCTGGCACTAGGACCAGGTCATGTGAGCGGCTGGGATCTCCCTCAGGTGAGACAGCCTTATGCACCTCCCCATACAGGCCTGCAGCCTTGCTCTCATGTTAGTTTCTAACCATGGATCCTTGCCCTCTTGCCTGAATGGTAATCTAAGTAGGATTTATGGGGAGGCCAGCCAGATATTGACAAACCTTCGTTCTCTGTCCCCCCTCACTGTCTCTCTCAGATTAAATCAAAATGGCTGATGAAGAAATCGCCGCCCTCGTTGTTGACAATGGCTCCGGGATGTGCAAAGCTGGCTTTGCTGGGGATGATGCCCCTCGAGCCGTGTTCCCTTCCATCGTGGGACGCCCCAGACACCAGGGTGTCATGGTGGGCATGGGGCAGAAAGACAGCTACGTGGGCGATGAGGCCCAGAGCAAGAGAGGCATCCTCACCCTGAAGTATCCCATTGAGCATGGCATTGTCACCAACTGGGATGACATGGAGAAGATCTGGCACCACACTTTCTACAATGAGCTGCGGGTTGCCCCTGAGGAGCACCCTGTCCTGCTCACTGAAGCCCCCCTGAATCCCAAGGCCAACCGAGAGAAGATGACACAGATCATGTTTGAGACCTTCAACACTCCAGCTATGTATGTGGCTATCCAGGCAGTGCTGTCCCTGTATGCCTCTGGGCGTACCACCGGTATCGTCATGGACTCTGGGGATGGGGTCACCCACACAGTGCCAATCTACGAGGGGTACGCCCTGCCCCATGCCATCCTTCGTCTGGACTTGGCCGGCCGTGACCTGACCGACTACCTTATGAAGATCCTGACCGAGAGAGGCTACAGCTTCACCACCACGGCCGAAAGGGAAATTGTGCGTGACATCAAGGAGAAGCTCTGCTATGTCGCCCTGGACTTCGAGCAGGAGATGGCCACGGCCGCTTCATCTTCCTCCCTGGAGAAGAGCTATGAGCTCCCTGATGGCCAGGTGATCACTATTGGGAATGAAAGGTTCCGGTGCCCAGAGGCTATCTTCCAGCCTTCCTTCCTGGGGATGGAGTCCTGTGGCATTCACGAGACCACTTTCAACTCCATCATGAAGTGTGATGTAGATATCCGAAAGGACCTCTATGCTAACACGGTGCTCTCTGGCGGAACCACCATGTATCCTGGCATCGCTGACAGAATGCAGAAGGAGATCACGGCCCTGGCACCCAGCACAATGAAAATCAAGATCATTGCCCCCCCGGAGCGTAAATATTCTGTCTGGATTGGTGGCTCCATCCTGGCTTCTCTCTCCACCTTCCAGCAGATGTGGATCAGCAAGCAGGAATATGATGAGTCTGGCCCATCCATTGTCCATCGTAAATGCTTCTAAAGAGGGTCTCAGCAGGTGTGCTCAGCCTCTGCTGATGGGGTTACTCACAGTAATTGTCAGGGCAAATGTATTTACCAAATTGAGTAGTTACTTGTAAACTTTGCCCTTGAAAAGCCTTTCATGTTGGACCAATATTGTTTGATTTACTCACCACCTCTTATGTTTAACTTGACTATTCCTTTGATGTACTGTGTAGTAACTATACCCCGTGCATCTTAAGCTCTGTTACAGGTTGCACATGTGATGAAGGTTACAGTTAACTGTATTAGTGGAGAGTGAGAGAGCACGCTACCTGTTAAGCTTTAGTTTTCCTGTGGCTGACTAGTGACCCTTTACTTCCCCCGCCTTAGCTATAAATTCCCTGGGGCTGGAGACTAGACTAAGGGTGGTTGACTTTACTATGTAACTTTGGTGTAATGGGATCTCAGAAGTAGATTTGTAACTAACCCTAAAGGTGATAACTGTAATGTCACTGACCGCTCCTTGTATAAGGCAAACTAATAAACTTCTGTGGTTTAAAAAGTTCTCATAATTATATGCTTGGAATCACATGGTCTGCCCACCAGGCTGAATGAACCTGGTCATCTCACTTTTCAATAAAAACCATCATATATTGGCTAAATCATAATTCTAACTCTTGCATGCCAAATTTGTGATATACAGAAGGCTGATGCCTCATTAGGAGCAGTTGTGCTGGACACATGTACTCTGCCACTCCAAAGTGGAGAGAATAAATGTAAATATTAAATTTCTGGTGATGTGATAGCAGAGTTATGAACCTCATACTCAGTTTGTAGATGGTTCCTTTTACGTGTCGTTCTCTGACATTGAAAGGCATAAAGTAAGAGAGAAGGGGGGAACAAAAGTACTCTAATATCTTGATTCAAAGGAAGCTAACACTATTTCTAATGGTGTTGCAAGTAGGGAGATATCTAAAAGCAAAACCAGTGTAATATAATGCAGTTAACTCATATATGGCCTGATTTTTTAAGTGTACAACTTTGCTGTTGTATAAAGAATACTTTCCTCTTAAGGTAGCTGAATGGCATTGGGGTGGAGTGTTTTACTGCCTCCATTGTTGGCTAGCTGAAGATGGCTTTCTACAAGGCTAACACACCAGCACAACCATGCAAAGTTGCACTAGCTGTCCTGGGAAGAGTAACTTGCGAAGAAGATACAGAATTTCCCTACATATAGTAAAATGAGACCTTAACCATGGTTTTAAAAACTGCCACTTTGACCTCCTTCTGGAGTTGTCTTGGGGTTGCGGAAGGGAAGATACTAGAGCAGCCAAACTTTTTGGCCTGAGTCCCACATCGGGTTTCCAAAAGGGTATGGAGGGCTGGTTAGGGGAGGCTGTGCCCCCTGAAACAGCCAGGCGTGGCCCAGCCCTTGCCCCCTGATGGCCCCCCTCCCCTGGGACTCCTGCCCCATCCACCTGTCCCCTGACTGCCCCTACCCCATCCACCCGTTCCTCCCATTCCTAACTGCCTCCCAGGACTCCTGCCTCGTCCAACCACTCCTTCTGACTGCCCCTGGAACCCCTGCCCCTAGCTGCCCCATCTAACCCCCCCTCCCTGACTTTCCCCCAGGACCCCTGCCCTATTCAACCCCCCTGTTCCCTGACCTCCCTGCCCCTTATCTACACCCCAGCTCCCTGACCACCACCCTGAACTCCCCTGCCCCCCCTTACCGTGCTGCCTGGAGCACCAGTGGCTGGCAATGCTACGGCCGCCACCCGCACAGCACAGAGCACCAGGTCGGGCCGCGGCTCTGCCGCTGCGCTGCTGCCCAGAGCATTGTGCTGGTGGCCCAGTGAGCTGAGGCGGTGGGGGAGGGGGAACAGCTGGGGAGGGGCCAGGGGCCAGCCTCTTGGACCAGGAGCTCAGGGGCTGGGCAGGAGGGTGATGTGGGCCGTAGTTTGTCCACCTCTGTACTAGAGCTGAATACTTGCAGTTTCCTTCAAATTCTCTCAGTAGCCTACTGCAGCATAGCACAGTGTGAATTTCTAAACAGTTTAGCAGCTGCCTCTATACAGGAGATCAGGACTGACTCCTCAATCTCCCCCAGTCCTCAATCATGCAGTTTTGTATTTTAAAATGGTCTTGTTCTGTAGGTGGGCAGGTAGGGGGAAAATATTGTCCTCAAACATCAAAATCTGAGATCAGACCAATTGATGATTACCTCCCAGCTTCAGGCTGCCCCAAAATGACCTCCAGTGTTTTTAAAGACAACTTATTTGTGGGTCTTTTCTATTCTAAAGAGATCACTGAAAGATGATTACAAAAGCACAACGTGGACAGAAATATTATATTGCAATATTAGCTTGGACTGGGATCCTATGTGCTAGATGCTATACAGATAGAAGAAACAGATGGTCCCTGGCCTCAAAGAGTTTGCACTCTAATCCAACTACAACACTAACTCTACAATATCTTGATTTTTAATAAGGCTTTGGACACAATCCCGCATGACATTTTCATAAGCAAACTAGGGAAATGTAGTCTAAGTTACTATAAGGGGGGTGAATAACTGGTTGAAAGACTGTATTCAAAGAGTAGTTAGCAAGGGTTTGCTGTCAAACTGGGAGGGTGTATCTAGTGGGATCCTGCAGGGATCAGTCTTGGGTCTGATACTGTTCAATATTTCATAAATGACTTGGATAAGGACACAGAGTGTGCTTATAATATCTGTAGATGACATTCAGCTGGGAGGGGTTCTAAGCAGTTTGAAGGACAGGATTGGAATTAAAAATGACTTTGACAAATTGGAGAATTGGTCTGAAATCAACAAGATGAACTTCAATAAAGACAAGTGCAAAATACTTCACTCAGGAAGGCAAAATCAAATGCACAACTACAAAATGGGGAATAGCTGGCTAGGCAGTAACACTGCTGAAAAGGATCTGGAGATTATAGTGGATCAAAAATGAATGAGAGTCAACAATATAATGCAGCTGCAAAAAAGGCTAATGTCGTTCTGGGGTCTATGAACAGGAGTGTCATACATCAGAGACAGGAGGCAATTGTCCCGCTCT